ATTGTAAATAGTTTAATTTAATAGAATAGTTTTAGTATTTTATAAAGTGACAGAAGCAAAAGAGAATAGAAGGGTTATAGTTGCTGTGCTCTTTTCATGCCATATTGTACAGAATGAAATCCAGTCCAGCACATTCTTTTTCTGGCCATCAATAATTTCCTTCCTTTAAGCACTTCATTTACTGCAGAAGCAGCTCTTCATTTGCAACAAGCCCCAAATTCCTTCATTCTGTATGCAAAAGTTCTCATCTCAGAATCATTTGTTGGAGTGTAGATTGAGGTCTTGAATGGTACGGTTTTGAGTCCCATGATGGATTTGGATTCTGGATTTGACATTTTGTTAATGAATATTTCACCAGCTTTTATTTAATATAGATATTGCTAGAAAGTCATACAATTCATCCTGCTCTGCAATGCATTTGCCCATGGACTCCATCTTCTGTGCTCAGAATTTTTACCAACAACTTTTGTGATTTCTTTACTCAGGAACTGGAGAGTGATCATGTGCTTCTGTACTGTCTTCCCCCAAACCCATGGAATCCAGTTTATCCTACTGTTCAACTTCCCCTCATGAAAAGCCATGTTCCTTACCTCTTGCTAAACCTAAGGTCAAATTTCTCATTTGACACTTTGTCCTGAATCAATTTAGTCCCTCAACTGTAAATGTCTAGAAATGAACATCAATCATGATCTTTGCTTAAGTCCTCCTGTTTTCTCTGGGTTTCCTCCTCTGGAGAATTCAAAAGTTCAATCTGAGGACACAGATAGAAACCCACATGAATCTGGTTATCTCATACTAGACAAGGGTGCCAAAATCATTCACTGGAGAAAAGACAGCCTATTCAACAGATGGTGCTGGCAAAACTGAAAATTCATATGTAGCAAAATGAAATTAAACCTCTATGTCTCACCCTGCACAAAAATCCACTCAAAGTGGATCAAAGACTTAGGCATTAGAATAGAGATCCTGCACTTACTAGAAGAAAAAAAATACGCCCAAATCATCACCATATCAGCCTAGGACATGACTTCCTTAACAAAACTCCTAAAGCTCAAGAAGGAAAATCAAGAATCAGTAAATGGGATGCATTCAAATTCAAAAGCTTCTTCTCAGCAAATGGAACAATTAATAATGTGAGGAGAGAGCCTACAGACTGGGAGAAAATCTTTACCACCTGCACTTCTAATAAAGCATTAATCTCTAAGATATATAAAGAGCTCAAAAAACTTAACACCAAAAACAAACCAAAAAAAAAATAACCCAATCAATAAATGGGCTAAGGAACTGAACAGACACTTCACAGAAGAAATACAATGAATCTACAAATATATGAAAAAGTGTTCATGTCTCTAGCAATTAAAGAAATGTAAATCAAAACTACTCAAAAATTTCATCTCACTCTTGTCAGAATGGTAATAATAAAGAACATAGGCAACAATAAATGTTGGTGAGGTTGCTGGGAAAAAAGGTACCCTCATACATTGCTGGTGGGAATGCAAATTGGTGCAACCACTATGGAAAGCAGTATGAAGATTCCTCAGAAAACTGGGAATGGAACCACCATTTGACTCAGCTATCCCACTCCTTGGTTTATACCCAAAATACTTAAATCAACATACTCTAGTGACACAGCCACATCAATGTTTATAGCAGCTCAATTCACAATAGCTAGACTATGGAACCAACCTAGGTATCTCTCAATAGATGAATGGATAAATAAAATGTGGTATATATACTCAATGGAATATTACTCCACTTTAAAGAAGAGTGAAATTATGGCTTTTGCCAGTAAATATTTGGAGTTGGAGATTATCATGCTAAGCGAAATAAGCCAATCCCACAAAACCAATGGTCAAATATTTTCTGTAATATGCAGATGCTAATTCACAATAAGGTTGGGGGGCAGTATGGAAGAATAATGTTCCCTTAGATCAGTTAGAGGAAAGTGATTGGAAGGGAGGGGATAGGATGTGGGGATAGGAAATATAGTAGAAGGAAACAGACATTATTACTGTATATGACTACATGGCCAATATGATTCTGAACATGTACACTCAGAAAAATGAAATTATATCTCATCTATGTAGGACATATCAGCATGCATAAATACATTCTACTGTCATATATAACTAATTAAAAGAAGAAAAACTAAAAAAAAGATGGATCTAAATATTCATGCAGTTTTTGCTTGTTTTCAAGCTGGATTCTGGGGTCTGTATATACAGAAGTGCCAAAACAAAACAAAATTCTGTTCTAGTTCCTAGTGGAGAAACACACAGTGAGCAGAGTCTTGGTGATTTGTCCTCATGTGGCTGATACCACCTGACCATGCTCACCCTGAGCAGCTGGAGCCCACTTCTGACTGTTGAGTGCCCCTTTTCTCCCACAGGACATCAGCACAGAACATCTCCACGTACTGTCCATAAGCTTTCCTCACTGTGTACCTCCCTATACTGTCCAGGTGCACTGCTCACCTGAGTCATGCAGACACCCTGGCTAGCTGTTCTCTACATTCTTTCTTCTTTATCTCTCTCTCTCTCTCTCTCTCTCTCTCTCTCTCTCTCTTTAAAATTACATACAGAGTATTCAGAAGGATATTTCCTTTCTATGAGTATGATAAAAGCATTTTTATACCTAAATAATCTCCTGTAGATCCTTTTCTACATCAAGATAAAATAAACATTAATTTCCCATTTAAACTCTCATTGAGCTTCTTCCCAGCCACCCTATCTCAATTCCTCCTCCTATACTCTGAACACAACCACTAATAGATTCATTTTGCAAAGAGGATTCTTATTCCTGGACCACAGGGTCATGTTGTCTCTGAATCCTTCTGGTCCTTCTGTCCCTACCTCACTATCTTTACTGATGACCAAGTTCCACATTATCTAGTAGAGAAGTCTTTACCACCATGAGTTGGGTGGACTTTTGCTTTCCTGATAATACTTTATGAGGAAATTTCTAAACCTAAAAATGTAACTAGTTTTTTCAATATTTCCATATCTAAAATTTAAACACAGAAATTCATAGCAAAATATTGGGAGGACTCCATCTATTCTTTTCATATTCAATTGAGTGTAAATATTTACATTTCATGTGAATGTTGCATATTTTATCATATTCTTTAACTATTTAATATTCTAACATTGAAAGAGTAGTACTTTGATTGTGATCAGTTGCCAGAATCAACAATATAGATTTTAATGTATTTGCATACAACATTCACTTATATCATGAGCAACATTGATAAATGTCTCACCAGAGATCCTTAAAGACTATTTATTAAGAGAGATTAACTTAGAAATTTTGATAGGGAAAGTTAGTTCTTCTCAGGTAGATGAATTAAACATCATAGTCAACCTCCTTGGGTTATACCAGATAGCAAAGAATATAATCAAAAATTGACTTTCTAGCTGAAAACTCCAGATTTTTGTCATTAACCAGATAAAATTTATTGTCTTATGAATTTCTATAAGACCTCATTTCTTTGTATAGAAATAAAAGATTATGAGAAAATTTAATTTAACATATGACTCTATGTCTGAGTACAAATGAACACATGCATATTTGCTCACTCCTGGTCTCCTCTGAGCAGTGACATCCTTGTCAACTTCTTTCCATGCTGGTGAATATTCCCAGACCTGGGATCATAACAGCCATTTATAGCAAGGGTTATGTGCTGTCATGTGTACCAAATGTGCTTAAATTAGAGAGAGGGTGTGTGTGCATGAAGAGTAAACATTATGGAAGTTGAATTCTGGTCTTTGTCCTGGTCCCTGGTGGATTATCCACATCCTGGGTGTTGCACAGGTTCTCTCTGCATCTGGCACTGGGTTTCTCTCTGATAGTCACAAACAAACTCCCTGAGATCTCTGTGTATATGTCAGTTTTGGAACGTGGTAAGGTGGATGAAGCCTAGGAGGACCATGCATGCATGTGTTACCCCATGTTGGGGTGGGTCTATACTCAAAGGACTTAAAAGAGCATACTACAGGGACACAGCCACATTAATGTTTGTAGCAGCACAATTCACAACAGTGAAACTGTGGAACCAACCTAAATGCCCTTCAGTAGATTAAAAAATTTAAAAATTTTTTAAAAATTAAAAAAAATTAAAATTAAAAAATGTGGCATATATACACAATGGAATATTACTCAGCAATAAAAGCAAATAAAATCATGGCATTTGCAGGTAAATGGATACAGTTGGAGAAGATAATTCTAAGTGAAGTTAGGCAATCCCCCCAAAAACAAATGGAGAATCTTTTCTCTGATACAAGGTGACTGTCTCATAGTTGGGTATGGAGAGGGAGCATGGGCGGAATTGGAGAACTTTAGATAGGACAGAGGGGTGGGAGGGAAAGTGAGGGAGCAGGGAGGTAGCAATGATGGAGGAATGTGATGGACATCATTATCCAAAGTACATGTATGAAGACATGGATTAGTGTGAATATACTTTATATACAAACAGCAATATGAAAAATTGTTCTATATGTGTAATAAGAATTGTGATGCATTCTGCTGTCATGTATTTAAAAAAATAAAACCAATAAAAAATTTTGAACCAAAATACATAAATAAATGCAAAGATCTGGAATTTAAAGGTAAATATTCAAATCCCATCAGTGTGTGGAATATTCCTCACTGCCTCCTATGGACAAAAGTAACACAAAATAGTGACAAAAGGGCTGTATGATGTACACATCTGAATAAAGCTTTACAATCTCCAAAATAAATTTTCATCATCAGACTCATGATTGAGAAGAATAACACATGTCCAAATACACTAAATATTTCAAACACTACTAAAAACTTATTTGTATGTGGGGAATAATTAATGTGAATTAAATTTATAAAATATCTGGGAAGGTAGAAATTATTAATCAGGGTTAGGAGGCTCCTTCTGACCTGTGAGTCAGGACACTGGGAAGTGAAGTATAACAGGGCCTATCAGCCTGGAGGTTTTTGTCTTACTTCCCCTCTGCTTGTGTCACTGTGAGTTACACATAGCTGCTACCACTGCCATGGGATGCCCCACAGTGGTAGACAGTCTCATCCTCTTCCTGGATGTTCTGGATGGTCAGGTATCGATCCAGGCCAGAGCCTGAGCCTGAGAAGCGATCAGGAATCCCATCCCCCTTGGATCCCACAATGCCACTAGTGCCCACTACCATCACAAAACGGGGGCTCTTCCCTGGGCTTTGCTGGAACCAGGCCACCACATAACTATTGTAGCCACTGCTCAGGGTGCAGGTGAGTTTGACTGTTTGTCCCAGGGAGGCAGATGCAGAGGGTGGCTGAGTCAGCACAGGCTGAGAGAAGGATCCTGTAAAAATAGACACATCATAGTAGAAGGAAGAGAAAGGGTGCATGTGTTTGGGGATCTGAGCCCTTGAAGATAGACTCAGGACAGGGGTCTGCCATGGGGCTCAGAAGTATGTCCCTACCTGGGCAGTGAGTGAGCATAATAAGGAGAAGAAGAGTTCCAACCATGTTGGACAGTTTCCTGAGTCCAGAGCTGGTTTGGGCTGCCTCCAGCCTTTCTTATCCCTCCCCATTGGCCTCAAGGTGGAGCAGCTCATGCAAATGTCCCTCCACCCACTGACCCTCACTGGCTGTTCTTTTTCTGCGCCTGGAATAATCCAAGACAAAGTGTGGAGGGTGGTGATACTTTTATTTGCCTGATGGGCAGAACCTGGGATGAAGCAGGTTCTGGCACACTGCAGAAGAGCACAGTTATTAGCCCACCTTAGTGACACAAGGTTCACTCCTCTGCCCACCCCTGTTATGATGAAGTTTAGAATTCTCTTGGGTAGTGACTCTGCCTTTTTACCTTTTCATTTGAATCTTAGAAATACTGGTGCAGATATTTCTGCGTCAAGTACTGTGCTCAGATCAATCTCACTAACAAAGTAATATTGATGTGGTAATTTGGGTGTTTGTTTTTTCCACCAAAAATTTACCAGGTATCAATCATTGTATATGAAGAGTGCCATGAAAAAGAACACAGAGCTGGGCATTCTCAGTGTTTGAGATCATTTAGGAAACCCAACTCAGAGGATCATAATAAATGTTTCTTTCATGTCCTCTCATTATGTCCATATTTCCAGGATGTAGGTTGGCTGAGTTGGTTAAGTCACTTGACATAAGATCAACCCAGCACCCCAAGTTAGAGTTTACATAAATATGATCAAATGAATGACTTTTCTCCAAATTGTGGTCCATTGAGCTATGGGAGAAAATTGGGGATATATATCTATAATTGAAATGACTATAAGATAGGAGGCATGAACCAACAAAAAATATTTACTTTACATTTGCAGAGGTAAGTAGAGTGACAGGGATCTCACTGGGCTAACTTCAGTGTGGTGCCAGGGTTGTGCTACTTTCTGGAGGCTCCAGGGGAAAATCTGTCTTATTTAATTTTCCAAATTCTAGGGTCACCCACATTTCTTGGCTAGTAGTCACTGCCTCCATCTTCAAAGCCAGAAATCCTGAATGGATACCTTCTCATAACATACCACACTAGTTGCTTCATCTTTCTCTTCCACTCCTAAGGACTCTCATGACCTCAAGGTAAATTCCAGGATTATCTGATGACCCTAATGTGAGATTATTAGTAACATTAATTCCATGGCTGATTCATTATTACTTTATCATACATCCTTGCATATTCATAGAATTCAGAGTTTAGTGTGTGGACAACTTTGTGGTCCATTATCAGCAAACCACACTGTTCTTGCCATGGGAACTTGGAACCATTTATATGTACTCATTGAAAATATAACAAGGAATCACTTTAAAGTCATAAGCATATCAAGTTGGGGTTGGTTGTACTTTTACATCGCACACATATGATCTTCATAGAACCTGGGGTAATTTACAATTATATATGATTTATACTATGATTTCATTATTATATATATCAGAAACCCACTTAAAATGTCCACTGAACATACATCATGCATTTGATATTCTAGTTTGTGACTTTTTAGCACCATGTATAACACAGAATAGGGTTATCTCTCTTTTCTTTGTGGGCTAATAACACTGAGTGAATCTTAGAGCTGTCATGCCATGCACTGCATAATAATCAGCTTATCCTCAGGTTGCAGCTCAGAGATGTGCAGAACACTTGTACTTTTTCAGGCATCTGTGTTCCAGGCAAGTGCCTGGGGACCCCAGAACCCTGATACATTTCATGAGGTTGAGTAGCATGGTACCATTTTATGTAGCATCTGCTGACACTAAAGCTGCTAATACTGGAGTAGGTGAGTGTAGCAGGTGATTCAGGAGTTGCAGAGATGGAGTAGAGTTGACTCAATACAACCTTGAAAGGGAAACTGCAAACAGATAGGAGTAGGGGATAAGGTAAGGGGGAGGAGAAAAATTTCTCATTATTCTGTGACTGAATGGTTGATTTCAACTAAGAATTGAGACTTGGTAAAGACTGATGTCAACCAGAGCAGTAATGAGGAGGTGCAGGAGTACTCCAGTTTAGAGTGGACACAGTTCTTGAGTGTCGCATTGGGGCTGGGCTGCTGGCCTTTAATTGTTTACCCTCTGCTATAGGAGGGCTATTCATGCAATTCTTTCTCCATCACAGTTGCCCACAGTTGCTCTCTGAGCCCTGGTGCTGGAGTGCAGCACACAATGCAGAGTGAGAAAGAATGAAGTTGCTTTCCTCCTTGCAGGACCCTGGCAGAAAGCACCTGATGAGGTGAAAGAAAAGCCTCTGCTCCAGGTACTCAGCCAAGCCAGACAGTACACAGCTGCTGGATCCTTATCAGGGAACACAGCATCCACCAACAAGATTAAGTCTCCTTTGAGTGAATAGTCCTAACTGAACAGTAGTGTGGGGCAACAAGGCAGTCCCACAGCACCCTCTGGTGGTGACAGAGTACATCAGGACACCACTGAAATACAGAAGATAATAAGAAACTATTTTTAAAATTTATACTCCAATAAAATAGAAAATCTCAAAGACATCGAAAAATTTCTTGAGAGGTAATATCTACCCAAAGTGAATCAGGAGGATATACACAATTTAAATAGATCAATTTTAAGCAATGAATTAGAAGATGCCATTAAGAGCCTACCAACCAATAAAACCCCAGAACACATGGATTCTACCTGAGTTCCTCAAGGCCCCCAAAGAAGATTTAACAGCAATACTCCTCAAATAATTTCATTAAATAGAAAAGAAGGGAACCCTTCTAAACTCATTCTATGAGGCTATTATCACCCTGATACCAACATGAGACAAAGACACAACAAGGAAATACCAATATCACTGATGAATATAAATCAAAAGTTGTTAATAAAATTTTGGCAAATCACATACTAAAACAAATTAAAGAGATAGTGTACATTGATCAAGTGGAGTTCACCACAAGGATGCAATTTTGGTTCAACCTACAGAAATCAGTAAATAATTTCAATAGACTTAAAGACAAGAATCATATGAACATCTCAATAGATGCAGAAAAAGCAGGACAAAGTACAGCACCTCTTCAAGTTCAAAATATGAGAAAAACTAGCAATAGTAGAAACATACTTCAACATGGTAAAACCAATTTATATTATTCCAAGGACAACATCATTCTAAATGGGAAATACTGAAAGAATCCCAGCTAAAACTAGAACAAGGCAATGATGCCTTTTATCATCACTTCTATTCAACATATTCCTGGAAACTGTAGCCAGAGCATTTAGGCAGATGAAAGAAATTAAAGGGATACAAATAGAAAAGGAACAACTCAACCTATCACTCTTTTCCAAAGTCATGATTCTATATTTAGAAGATCCACAAAATTCTACCAGTTAACAAATAAATTCAGCAAAGTAGCAGGATATAAAATCAACACCCATAAATCAAACTTATTCCTGTACATCAGTGATGAATCCACTGAAATAGAAATTAGGAAAACTACCCATTCATAATAGCTTAAAAAATCAAATACTTTGGGATCAATCTAAAGAAAGAGGTGAAAGACTTCTATAATGAAAACACTAAATAATTCGACCTTAGAAGCTGGAGAAATCTCCCATAGGCATAATTAAATATTTTCAAACTGGCCATAATATCAAAATGGTCATACAGATTTTGTGCAATTCCTATGAAAGTCCCAATGACATTCTTCAAAGAACTACTAAGAGCAATCATGAAATTCATTGGAACAATAAGAGACCCAGAATAGCCAAAGCAATCCTTAGCAAGAAGAGTGAAGCAGAAGGCAACACAATACGAGACCTTAAACTATGCTACAGAGCCATAGCAAGAAAAATGGCATGGGGGCTGGGGAATGTAGTGCAGTTGTTGGAGGGCTTGACTTGCATCCACAAGGCCCTGTGTTTAATACCCAGCACTACAAAAAACAATATGAAACAAAACAAAACAAAAAGAAAACAACAACAACAACAAATGAGCACAGTATTGGCACCAAAACAGATATGTAGACCCATGGTATAGAAAGAAGAACAGAATCAAGCCCACATGAATACAGTTATCTCATACTAGACAAATCACCAAATGTATTCATTGGAGAAAAGATATCCTCCACAACAAATGGTGCTGGGCATAGTAGAAATTCTTATGAACCAAAATGAAACTAAACCTCTAACTCTCACCCTGAAAAAAAACTGAACTCAAATTGGATTACAGACTTTCACAGTAGAACAGAGATTCTGCACCCAATAGAAGAAAAAGTAGGCCCAAATATTCATCATGTCAGCTAATACCTGACTTTCTTAGCAATATTTCTAAGCACAAGAAATAAAATCAAGAATCAATAAATGGGATAGATTCAACCTAAAAGTTTCTTTTTTTTTCTTTTTTCTTTCTTTCTTTCTTTCTTTCTTTCTTTCTTTCTTTCTTTCTTTCTTTCTTTTTTTTTGCAGCAAAAGAAGCAATGAATGTTGTGAAGGGAGAACCAAAAGAGCCAAAAGGATGGGAGAAAATTTTTATCACATGCAGAACAGATGGAGCATTAATCTGCATGATATATAAAGAACTCAAAAAATTTAACACCAAAACAACAACAACAAATAACTCAGTGGATAAATGGAATAAGCAGACATTTCACTGAAGATGAAATGTCTGATGAACAAATATATGAAAAAATGTTTAACATCTATAGCAATTGGAGAAATACAAATCAAAACTACTCTGTGATTTCATCTCACTCCAGTCAGAATAGCAATTATCAAACATTCAAGCAACAATAAGGGCTGGTAAAGATTTGCAGAAAATGGTATACTGATTAATTGCTGGTGGGATTGTAAATGGTGCAGCCACTTTGGAAAGCAGTCTGAGATTCCTTAGAA